GGCCTGTGGGCGCTGTACGCCACCGTCGGTAACCACGGCAACCTGGTGGCCAGCCGGCTGGTTTGGGACGACGAGACCAAGAGTCTGAACGTGACGCAGACGTGGCAGACGAGGCTGTTCAAGAAGGCGGTGAGCAACGCCTTCATGGTGTGCGGCGTGCTGTACGCCACCCGCTACCTGGACGAGCACCGCGAGGAGGTGTTCTACGCCTTCGACACGGCGACGGGCAAAGAGGACAACTCGCTGGCGCTGCCGCTGGAGAAGATCGCCAAAGGAGTGGCCAGCGTGAGCTACAACCCCATCGACAAGCAGATCTACATGTACAACGATGGATACCTGCTGGCCTACCAGGCCCACTTCTGACCTGCTGCTGGAGGCGCCGCCAAGAGGAAGCAGAGTGGCACTAAATAAAGAATTCATGTTACAGCTAAATGTCAGATTATGACGACTCATGCAGGTATTAAAGGTGTGTTTACATGTTCGTAGTGACCCTGAACACAACAGAACTGAATCAACAATAACAACCAGAAGAAAGGCTCAGTAACTATAAAAAGCTTTACCAGCACTTTTTACATTAATAAATACGATTGTGTTGTTTCACATCTTGTTTCTGTTGATTCAAACCTTCCTGATGCTTCATGTTAATGCAAATACTAAAATGATGTCATTTATTTTAGAACAAATGTCTTTGAACGCAACACAGCTGAAATATCAAAATCAACCACAATAAAGACCAAAACGAAGCTTTAATGGTGTTTTTCTTTCTTTACATGAATAAATATTGATTTGTTTTGTGTTTTTTAATCTTTTTTGTGTGTTTTTTGGCTTGTTTTTGTCATTTTGTGTCTTTTTTTTGTGATAATTTTGTCTCTTTTGTGTTGTTTTGTGTCTAATATGTTTCACTTTGTTGGATACCTAATGTCATGTGCAGACAGATTACCCATAGTGCTTTGCTGCGCGGCTCTGAACAGCGGCCAGCAGGCGGCGCTGTTCTCCCACGATGCCACGCAGCCGGACAGATGTTTCCTGCTTTGTCCTGTTTCTGGCCATTTGCCTTCAGAGACAGTTAAAGCAGCTGGTTCTGGTTCTGGTTCTGGTTCTATGTGTTCTCTGCTGACATCTGATTTATCTACAATAACTTTAGTATATTAAATGATCAGACTTTTACCTTCATGCTGTGAATGTTCCAGAGGTCCAGGTCCTTGAAGTCCACAGAGGAGGGTCCAGATTTATCACTTAAATGGACTTTTTCCATCATTTCTGAGCCTCAGAACACATTTGAGCTTTCCAAGTGTCATTTCTGACCATTTTGAAGTCATTTGGACAGCTTTTGAGTAATTTTCGACATGTTTTTGACTAATTTTGAGTAGTTTCGGACAA